AAATCAATTTCCCTAGAAACAGAATGAAAAAAAATTCACGATGGGAAAAACTCTCAGATTTCAATATCTGAAAAATAAAATAATTTATGTCCGATATAAGAAAATATTCAGGGCTTCCGCTCTCCTTTGAAATATTAATATCCATTTGGTGTAATATTAACGCTACGAGCTGGGACGACGAATACTTTCTCGTCCAATAAACATGTAGTCGATCTTTCTGCATCGAGGTTATTTTGAAACCCCACGTGTGCCAATGCCATATACGAGATAGTTTTTTCAAATTGAAGAACATATAATATCATGTACATATAAACATATTATATATGTCATAAACTATCTGCAGAAATTCTAAAGAACAAGGGTTCCGAAAAAAAACAGTATATATGTTTAATAATATTGCAAGAAAATACTGCATTTAACAATGGAAAAAGAATATGTACCATCGATATGGATCGGAGACGAGAACACCGTGATAGTCTTCGACGACGGCCTCATCGCGGCGAGAGGGTAAGAGAGGGGTGGAAGGGGGGAGGTGGGAGAAGGGAGGGAGCCCATTTTGTTGTTATCTTAATTTTCTTCTCTTCTACTATCTAATATTTATTTTTAATTTCCTTATTTATATTGTAGTAGACATGAGATTGAGAATGACGATAAAATGAGGACATGGGATGAGAGGGAGTAGGGAGAATGGAGATGGAATCGAGAGTAGATGGAGAGAGTTTATTTTTGGTGGGTGAAGTAAAAGTGTCGCCATTGTGTTGCTAACGATGTTGCCATCTTCTTGGTACGTACAAGCAAGGTTTTTATATATTTATTTATTTATTTATTTTGGTTGGTTTTATGTTGTTTTATTGTGGTTGGGTGTTTGAATTAGTTGGGGGACCAATGGCCAATGAGCTTAGGGCAACGAAAATGATAGAGAGGGATGGAGTCATCAAGCATGAATTTGACTATTTTTGTTGTTGAAGTACCTAGAAACCTTGAACATTTTCGGGTAATATACATGGTTGGTTGGCCAAGAAAATAGATGGTGGAAAAAGCGTGTTCCTTTTGTTTTGTTTAATCATCTGTATTTAATTAAAAAACTTCTCACTAAGCTATAAATTTTTTGCAAATTACATCACTTATCATGAATTGTCTTGAGTTTTAAACGATTTTACTGTCTTGTGCCCTCGTCTCAGAATGAGATTTGAGAACAGTAGGCAATGGTTTGTCATTTTGTTTGGTTCAAAGTAAAACTGTTGCCTCCCAATGTAGGGAATGGAGTTATTATTTTTAGTCCCAAACTTAGGCTTATTTGGATCTTAGAAAAACTCTAATTGGAATTGACCAATTTATGTAAGTACACGGATAATTCAAGATTAGCAATCTACTTCTCTATACTTATAGGAGGATCCAAAGATTCATTATTTATGCTACAGTAAATAACACACTGAATTACTGTAGCATTATTACTATGTTATATCACTGTAGCATAAAAAATCCGAATTTTGTAACCTTCACAAAAATAGTGTAGTGTTTTATAAAAAATTACTGTAACCATTTTTTAGTGCATTATACATGTATGTTTCCTTTACCATTGTACCTTTTTTTTATACATGTATGTTTCCTTTACCATTGTACCTTGTTTTAGTGCGTTATACATGTATCTTTATTGACAGCAAGCAGATACTTTTTTAGTGTTAATAACAAACTTTTTGTCCATATTTTTTTATTGATTTCTTAAGTACTACACAAGCATATACTTTTAAAAAAGATTATTTACATCCTGGTATTTAGTGATATGAAGTAATTATACAATTGACTTGACTCAGGGCCTTGTATATCTACAAGGATAATTCTGAAATCATGACTAAGATTACGTGAATAACCATATTGAAAGTAATTTCAAGGTTACTCAAGATTGCCAGTGTAATCTTAGTGGTAATCTTAGTCACTAATCCATGATTTGAGGGGGGTTTACAAATTAAATAGTTGAGTGGGGTTTTCTAAAATTAACTCATGATTTTAGTTTGAAGGGCTCTCTACATGAATTTTTTCCCTTTAATTTCTATATTTAAAGATATTATTTGGAGATTTTTTTATAAAAATATGTAAAGCTATAATTGGATAAGGATAATAACATATTTGATTAGTAAAATTTTCTATTTATGGATAGTTTTAATTTGATGAGGATTCCTAAAGTGAATATATGTTTATATTTAAATATATGATTATGAGTTTTTTTTTAATATGGGTAGTTATAATTTGATAAGGATTACAAAATATAGTAGAAATTTCTAATTATGAGTGGTTTTAACTTTATTAGGATTTTTAGGTGAATGTAGACCACTTAGCATATTCTTAGCATATTCTAATTAGGTGGACTAATGATATGACACATGCCAATTTTTTGTGCATTTAAGAGTTCGATCAATTTCTCTTTAAATATATGAAGGAGTGATATTTGGCTAAATATCATAAAACCTCCCTTAACTTTGGATGATTATTAAAAAACCTTACTTTAACTTTGAAAATATCAGAAAACCCCTCTTAAGTTTAGGTGTTGTCAGAAAACCCCCCTTAACTTTGAGATTTTATAAAAAAAACCCTAATTTAGGTGGGCTTCTTATAAAATCTGAAAATTAAAGGGAGTTGTCTAATAAAATCTAAAAGTTAAAGGAGGTTTTGTGATAATCCTAATACTTAAGTGGAAAGTTAAGGGGGTTTGCCATAATTGTCCAAAGTTAAGGGGGTTTTCTGATATTTGGCCTTTCGTTATACATGCATGGTGCCAGCCACGGTACCGATCGGCTCGTGTTGGACCTTAATACCATTCGCAATAGCCTAACCTTAATAATTGTGGTTAGGAAGTTGGCAAATACAGCCCAAGGCCCACCAAGCGAAACCTTTTGGGTTGTCAACAACATGCGCCGCTTTATAGGAACTTGGGCTCCCCCTGGGTCTCTCTTACTGAAATTTTGGGCATAATTTTGTCAGTATTGTCAATTTTAACAAATAAATAATAAAAAAACTAGCTTGGGAGTTTTTAGTCTGTTTTCTAATTATTATTGTTTTGAGTTTTTAAGAAAGGCCGTCACCACCGCTGAGGTTGCAAACTTGTCAACCTCGGGCCGAAAAAAAAAAAGAGGGCACGACGAGATCATTCCACTTATAAATTGAATGTAAAACTGTTGAAGCCTCGCGAAAAACTTGAGCGTGAACTGGACCTTGAGCTCGAGCATGCCATGATGTGGTACCCTGCAAGTGAAGATTAGGGTTTGATGGCTGCCTCTTCCCTTTGCCCTCCTCAATTTCCCCTCTTTTTTTTTCAAGCTAATATCCCAGCCTCAAATTCAAAGTTCCCCTCAAATTTGTTCTAGTTTCTCCTCTTCTTTATAATTAGAATGGTTAACTTTTAATCCTTCTAAAAAAAGTATTAGTAAATCCCTCATTTTGAGGGGTTAACTCATTTTAATCCCTCTAGAAGGGTTAACTTAACCCTTCTATATTTTTTATGTTTGGCAAATTATGGAGGGTTAACTCACTTTAACTACTCTTGTATAGATTTTTTATGTTTGGCGGGTTAAGAAGGGGTTAAGGAGACTTAACCCCTTACTTAACCCTTTGCCAAACGGTAGCTGAAGGAAGAAGAGGAGAGCTCTATGAGTCTATGACTATGGCTAGAGTAAACTAACAACCAAAAGTAGCAAAACAAACCAAAATTCTCGAAAACTTTTCCATTTTTCTCTCCTGGGAAAACACTACGAAATTTCTTTCAGGTCTCCCAACCAATTACGTCACCCAATTAACTCTACTATCTTTCCAACGTCTCCAGAAGAAAAACATAACCTTATATATATATGTATATATGCCATAAAAATCAGAATAAAGTTCATTTTTTAATCAAATTCTTTCTATAAAGATCTATAAATGGTGACTGAAGGATCTCCACATAACAAAATAAAACATATATATATGAGCATGGGATCTAAAATATTTACAGACTCATGACCCCATCAAACGCTACATTCATGCTGCATTTAAGCTAGCTAGTCAGCCATCAGACCATTTGTCTTGCTTCTTAGGAGGCTTGTCAATGAAAGTAATTAATTCCCTTTTATAACTTTAAAGCATAAAACTAAGAACAATACTTTTCTAAAATCAATTACTACATTCTATAATCTATGAAGAATATTTTTCCAACTCTTTTTCAAATCTTATTACCTGAGTAGTACAACTTGTGGAACCTATACCACACGTAGCATAAATAATTTATTACTATAATCTACTTAATATATATATGAGACTAAAAGAGGCGCAAATTAAAAAAATGAATTTATGTTATCGATATAAGTTAAGACCAAATAGTAAATAAAACTATAAGCTCTAAAAGAGATTACTGGACACTGAATAAAAAAAAGACTCATATTGCATGTTCATGATTCATGATGATGGAAGTTGCATCTCCTTCAGACTAAATTTGAATCAAAAGCTTAAGCAAATATCTTTTAGATATGGGCTTTGCTACAGGGACCTAAAATATGAGACCAACAGGAGGGACATGTGAGGTGTCCCCCTCCTATTGTATAATGAGATGATCATCATTAATAATGACCAGCTCATTATGCAATAGGGGAGGACATCTCACTTGTCCCCCCCTATTAATCTCATATTTTGGGTCATTGGAGAATTTTTCTTTAGATATTCAACTATATTAATGTAATCAATTGTATAATATTTTAAATATAAGAATTACTTTTGATTCATCGTGAACTATTTGTGTGTATCAAAACAAAAATAAAATAAAAAAATAAGATGGCAACATTTAATGCAGAACTAGATCAAACAAATTAATATGTATAGTGTGGAGGGAATAAATCTAGAAAATAGCAAGAATATATTGTAAGCACGTCTACATATAAGATGAGGTGAAACATT